GGAACGGGGCCGAGCGGTGGGGGAGGCTGCGGGAATCGGTCCCGCGTGGGTGCGCGCAATGGGGACGCGGACACGGCGGGACAGACGGGGCGGGGAGGGGGATGGGGCGGAGAGGACCGGGAAGGGGGTGGGACGGGGGGGCACTGGGATGGGGACGGAAGGAGATGGGGATGGGGACAGAGAGGTGCAGGGATGGGCAGAGGGCAGGAGGGTGCAGGGGTGGGATTGAGATGGGGAGAGGGCAGAAGGACGCAGGCCAGAAGGGGACAAAGGGATGGGGACACGGTGGGATGGAAAGGGGACAGGGCAGAAGGGCACGGGGGGGGGCACAGGATTGGGGGCACAGGATTGGGGGCACAGGATTGGGGGCACACAGCGATGGGGTCCTGCAGCTTTGGGATCCCTGAGGCCTGAGCACCGTGCAGCCCTACAAAATGTGTTCATCATGTGGTTAATTAATGAAGTCAGCCCGACCAGAGCTCGTCAGCTGGCCCTGCAAGGCCGGTGGGTTGGGGGTGCCCGAGCTGCCGCTCCTGGTTAATTATTAACGAAGGAATAAACTGCATACAGAGGTGGCTGCCCGTGGGACAGCCCTATGGCTGCGCCTTCACCTTTCACCTTGGGGCCAAACTCCCCCTGGCAGCGCAGTGCATCCCACACCTCGTGGGGGGGGGGGGACCCTGCAGGGAACGGGGCTGGAGGTGCAGGTTGGCACCGCCGGCATCCCCAGCCCTGAAGGAAAAGAGATGCGAGGAAGGTCGGGGAAAAAAAGAAATAAGAAATAAATAGAGCAAAGAGAAGCAAAGCGCAAAGGCCACGGAGCAGCAGAGGGAGACGGATGGCAGCTCCGGCCATAAATAAAACCTCCATTTCCTCCTGTCTGCAGGGATCCGTGCTCACGCGGTACCTGCGTGCACAGAGCCGGGCTGTGGGATGGCAGTGAGCTGTGCGGGGCTGGGGGCTGCTGTTGGGGGGGTTTGGTGGCGGGGGGGTCCTGGGGGCGGCCCCCACCTGCAGCCATCCCCGCAGCTCCTTTCTCCTCTGTCAGACGGTGATTTATGGCCCTTTCCCTGCCTCCCCCCCTCCTCCTCGCCCCCTGCAAAAAATAATAATCCAGGAACAAAGGAGGAAATTGGATCCCCCCCCCCTCCCAGCGCTGCCCGCCCCGCCGTGGGAGCCGTGTTTGTTTTGACGTTGGTGTCCAGTGGGCGAAGGCGTTTGATCACCGTTGGAATTCCTCCTTTCCTCTCCCTGCTCCGCTGCCTCACCAGCACAAAAAAAAAAAAAAAAAAAAAAAAAAAAAGGGCCCCCGTGCTCCGGGCCGCCTCGTTTTGTGCCGCTCGGTTTCACGCCGGTGCGTCCCACGCCCCGCTGCTCCCAATGCATTTTGGTAGCAGTGCATTTGGCACTGGTGCACTTCGTCCCGCTGCATTTCGTGCAAATGGTTTTTTTTTTACCAATGCATTCCGTGTCCCCTGCCTCCCCCCCCCGTCCTCCCTCCCTCCTTTTTCTCCTGCATCTGGAGGTTGAGAAATCAATCGGTGCCCATTTGGCCACGCTGGGTTTGCAGTGCCATCGCCGATCCATTTTGTCACTGAGCCACTTCCCAGCAGCGGGGCTGCAGTGCAGCTGTTCCCCCTGCAGCGCTGCCTGGATTTGTGCTGGTGGCTCCGTCGGTCCATCCGTCTGTCCATCCATCCCCGCTTTTTGGAACGCAATGGGGACGTGCAGCCCTGCGAGCGCAGAACGGGAGCTCCGCTCCTTCCTCTGCTCTCAGCCCATCTCCTGCCCCGTTCCCCCCACCCCGGGGCTGCGTGCAGAGCTGTGCTGCCACGAGGAGAGGTCGCAGGGCTCCGTATCACCACACCCCCACTGGATCTGGCTGCAGGTGGTGTGCGCTCACGTGTGCACACGCGTTGCACGTGGAGTCCCACTCCCCTCATAGAAAGGCAGTTTTGCCCCCCCAGCCCTATGCTGGAAGACTTCATCCCTTCCTCACCCCCAGCTCCTGTTGGCAGCTGCCCCCCCCCCCCCAGCTGCTCCCACATTGAGGGCCGCTCCCTGCCCTGCATTCCTGGGGCTATCAGATCCCACACCCCCGGCCCCCACCCCGCTACTACTGGACACTCCCTCCCCGGGGGCCAGGAGTCACTGCTCTCCCATCTCCTGCTGCACCCATGGGGCGCTTCCCATTGCCAAGTCCCAGCCCTGTGCCCCCCCCCTGGGCGCAGCCCCCCACCCTATGCTCCGTGGGAATGGTCACAGCCCCACACTGGGTGCTGCTCTCAGGGTGTTGGGAGCTTTGCGGGTGCCCTGGGCCTCCGTGGGGGGCAACTGAGGCATGGGGAGGGGCTGGGGTGGCTGCGTTTTGCAAACCACCATTGAGCAGGCAGAGGAATCGTGGGCAGCTGCAGGTTTGTGGGTGAAGCAATGGGGTCCTGCTGCCCCGTTCCTGGTAGCAGCTTTGGGGGGCACTGGGATTGTGGGGATGGGGGGGGGGGAGGGGATATCCCTGGGCTGGGGGCTGTCTGTGCCCCCTCCTCCCAGGGACATGAAAGCTGCCAGAACGCCCCGACCCTTTCACGAGGCTCTCGGTGAAGCCTGACCCCAGCACAAAGACCCCAGGAGAACATTTGAATCTGAAAAGGGGTCTGAGCATGGAGCCCTGACCTTCAACCCATGGGTCAGCCCATCCACACCACTGCCAGTGCCCCCCCCCCCCCCCCCCCCCGGAACCCCTGATGAGGCAGCCTTGTCCCAGCCCAGACAGCAGCCCTACAGCCCCACTGTGCATCCCTACATCCCTGCATCCCTGCCCTGCACTTCTACATCCCTCCAGCTCTGTGTCCCTGCAACCCCCCAGCACCCCCCTTCCATGTCCCCAGAGTGCTGACGGCCCCACTCCTGCTCTTTCCCCACAGCAGGATGCTTCCAAGGGATCTTTAGCAACATGGTCACACACACACATATATATATAAACATATGCTTATAAACTGTGCCCTACACTTCTGCCCCCTGCATCCCTGTCCCAAATCCTTATGTCCCCACGCCCCATCCCTGCCTGGAATCCTTGTGTCCCCATACCCCACACCATGGTGTCCCTGCCCCCCCCTTGCCACCCACCCCACACCCCGTCTGCCCACCCGCCATCTGGATATCGATCTGCTGAGCCTTGAACTCCGCAGCACGACGTCCCCAGGGTGCTGCAGCCCTCCATCCCCCCCCCCCATCAACCCCATGCTTCAGTCTCCCCAGCACCCCACACATCCCACAGCCCCACACGCATCTTCACCCCGCTTCTGCTGGGTCCTCATTGCTTTGGGGGCCGCACGGCTGCCTCCAACCCCACTCCCCCCCCCTCCAGCCCCCGACCCCGTGCGGGGTCACTGCTCCCCTTCCTCCTGAATATGCATGGGGCCGCCGCCGTCACCTTTGATCCCGCGTCAGGGCGAACGGAACGGCTTCATCTGCACCATGGGGCCGCCGGAGGGGGGGGGGGATGGCTTTGTTACCGGGATGAGCCGACCCCATAACCCCCCCCATCCACCCCCAGTGTGGCCGAGCCACAGCCACGAGCATCAGCGCTTTATTGTCCCCATGGACGCAGCCTGTGTCCCTAAATGCAGGTCTCTCCACCAGCCTTGTGCTGCTCCAAGGCCTGCAGCCGTCGTGCCAATGCCTGCATGCGCTGCGCCTGCTGCTGCTGCATGGCTCCTGCCCGTGCCTCCAGGTGCTGCAGCTGTGCTGCCTGCTTGTGCCGGGCACTGCGGTATGCCAGGGCCAGAGCACTGTGGGTACAGCATCACTGGGGGGTATGGGCATAGTATGGGGGTACAGCATCACTGGGGGGTATGGGCATAGTATGGGGGTACAGCATCACTGGGGGGATGGGGATGGTATGGGGCACAGCATCACTGGGGGGATGGGGATGGTATGGGGCACAGCATCACTGGGGGGTATGGGGATGGTATGGGGCACAGCATCACTGGGGGGTATGGGGATGGTATGGGGGCACAGCATCACTGGGGGGTATGGGGATGGCACGGGGGCACTGCAGGCTGTGGGTGCAGGTTGCAGTGGGTGCAGTGCCACTATGGAGCATGGTGACAGTGTGCAGACAGGGAGAGCAGAAAAGGACCGTGCTTTGTGCTTTGCAGGAAGGGTGCTTGCAGGAGGAGATCGTGCTTTGTGAGCGTGCAGGAAGGGATGGCACTTTTAGGGTGCGCAGAGGGCACAGAGTTTTGAGAGGGTGCAGGAAGGACCAGTGCTTTGGGGCACACAGGAGGGACGTGCACCCAGGGCATGCAGGAAAGCCCCATGATTTAGGCTCCCCTCACCCACCTGTGAGCCTGGAAGGACTCTCTGGTGACGGTGATGCACTTCTGGTGCTGTGCACGGCTGACAGCACTGCTCTGCTCCAGGGACAGCACCAGGGCCTGTGCTCGGGCGTGCAGCTGCTCGATGCTGTGGGACACACGCATGGCAGTGCCCGGCACAGCACTGCAGTGAATGCAGCACTCCCAGAGCTGTGGGTCCTCACCGTGCCAATGCACGCTGCAGCTCCTGCGCCTTCCTCTCCGGGTCCGCAGGGCGCCGCGGTGCTGCTGCTCCCATTGGAGCATCCTGCAGAGAGCAGAGGGGGTCAGCAGTGCTGGAGGGGGGGGGGTCGGCACCGAGCAGCCCCCCGGGATGCAGGGAGCCTCACCTCCTCGCTGCTGCTGGAGCTGCTGGAGGGGCTGTGAGCCCCCTGCTCCCACTCCATGTGCTGCAGCACCAGGCGCAGCGCTGCCTCCCGTGGGCCCTGCGCAGCCGCCAGCACTTCCAAGCCCCGCTTCTCCTTCTCTGCCAACTGCAGCCGCATCCTCAGCTCGGCCATGGCCTCCTGGCAGAGCAGTGCTGTCACCATCACCTCCTGCTGTCACCTCCCCGGGGGACATCGCTGCGCTCACCTTCAGCTCTGCCACCTCCCGCAGCAGCTCCGCTCTCTCTGGCCGCCTCCAGCCAGGCAGGAGGGCACGAGCATCCTGCAGAGCGCGCTCAGCGCGGGCACAGACGTCCTCACCACGGCGGGATGGGGCACGGGGGGGCATGGGGACATGGCTCAGGGACACCTGCACGGCCGCCTGCTCGGCACGCAGCTGGCGGATGGCCTCACGCAGGACCCCCTCCTCTGACCCGTGGGTGCTGTGTGGACAGGGATGAAGTGGCAGTGAGGTGGGCACAGGGCATGGGGACACCCCTGGGATGGGAATGGGGTACCTGTGCAGCCTGGGGCAGGAGCTGACCCCGCTCTCCTCCTGCCTGTTTGGCTCTGCTTGGCCCGGGAGCTGCAGGCTGTGTGTGGGGCTGGGCCCACAGCCATGCTCTGCGCTCTGCTTCCCCGTGGCTCCTGGGAACGGGGTAGGTGGTGTGGCCAGAGTGTGCTCAGTGCAGTCGTGCCAGCACCCAGGATGCCCACATCCCCCTGCATCCCCTCAGAGCCCTCAGAATCCCCACAAAATCACATTATACACCCCTGCATGCCTGCAGCATCCTCCCAATATCCTCCCGCTATCCCCTCAACGCTCCTCACACAGCCTCCCTCCTGCATCCCCCCAGCATCCCACAGATGACCCTCAGCACCCCCACGTCCCGCATCCCCCAGGTTGGCACTCACCAGCATCGGGGCCGTGCCCATCCCTGCCCAGTTTTGCCCACATCCGTTCCAGCAGTGCAGCATAGGCGTCCACGCAGCGCTCACTGCACACAGAGGGGCTCAGCGCAGCACTGGGGCTGTTCCCCCCTCCTCACATCTCCATCCCCATCCCTGCCCCATCCCCACCTGCAGTGCAGTGCCAGGCGCAGAGCGCTGCTGCACGACTCGTGCTGCCCCAGCTCCATGCTGAGCCTCTCCGAATCACTCTTGCAGTCGTGCAGGGCAGTCGAGAGCTGCTGGTTCACCTCCTTCAGCCTCTCCATGTGCCTGTGCACCGCCGCCCGGTCAGCTCTGTGCCTCAGTTTCCCCACCAGAGGTGCTCAGCAGTTGCTGGGGTCGGGAGGACTCACCCCTGTAGCTGTTGCATCCTCTCCTCCAGCTCGTGGCTGGCACCCTCTGAGGGCAGGGGGGAGAGCGGGCTGTGGGGCTGGGTGCTATGGGGCTGAGCTTCATCGCAGCTCAGGAGGCAGCCAGACAAGTCCTGCAGATGGGACAAGCAGAGCCCAGCACTGAGAGGGGATCCCAAATGGTGCCCCATCCACCCCTGCCCCACACTCACCTGGGGGTCCCCCAGATCTGGGGCACTGCTGAGCCCCACGGTGTCACCCCCAGCACCACCCATTCCTTCCAGCCTGGCCAGAGCCTCCTGCAGCTCCCACACCTGTGTGAGCACAGTGCTGAGCCCAGGGCCCAAATCGTGGGGCTCCCACCGGTGCTGCCCCACACCCACCTTCCCCTGCAACCGCTCACGCTCCCCCTGCAACGCCTGCAGCGCATCCGTGGTGCGGCTCAGCTCCTCATCGCGGTCCCCCAGTGCCTCCCGCAGCGCTGCGTTCCTCGCCGCCGCCTCCAGCAGCCCCTCGCCCCTCTCCAGACCCTGCCGTGTCCCCGCCACGCGCTGCAGCTCCTCCAGGCTCTGGAGGCACAAAGCCATGGGGCAGCGCCCATCATCCCCGTGGTGTCGGGGCTCTGCGTGCCGCCCTGCCCCACCTGTGCCCACTCTGCTGGTGGTGCCGACGTGCACCGATGCCGGGAGATGACGGCGCGTTCCAGCGAGCTGACGGCGTGCTGCAGGGCAGCAAAGAGGTCGGGGCGAGGGGCTGGGGGGAGAGGGCATGGGGTCAGCTCCTGGCGTGGCGTGGTGTGGCATGGCATGTCGCACCATGGCACGGCACAGTGCATCATGGCAAGGCATGGCACGGAGCACTGCACCCACCTTCCGTCCCTTGAGGCTGCTGCCCATCGGGGCAGGGGCTGCTGGTGCACCCCGAGTGCTCCACTTCCTTCCTATGGGGCAGATGCTGAGTGCTGTGGGGGTCTGTGCAGGCCAGCAGTGTGGTGATGTGCTGCTCGTCCCCTGCTGCAGCTGTGTCCTCATCTTCATCCTCGTCCTTATCCTCATCCCTGTCGTCGTCCAGCTGCTCGCTTGCAAGGTGCAGTGGGGAGCAGAGGCTCTGCCCAGCCTGGCCCTGGGGGTCAAAATGTGGTTGGGGTGCAGTGGGGCTGCTGTCGGTGCAGTTTGGCAGAGATGGGGACAAAAAATGAGCTCTGGGGACCTGAAGCACCCTGTGCCCTCCAGGTCACCCCACTTGCCTCTTCCATCCCACGTCTCCTGCCAGCACCCAGCCCCACAGCTCAGCCCCACAGCTTGGCCCCACAGTGACCGGATCCCGCAATGACCGGATCCTGCTGCTGGTGGGGCCCCGCGGGGCCGCCCCTGGCCTTGGCCACTCTGTGTTCCTGCTGAGATTTCCTCTTCCTCAGCAGCCCCGCTGCATCCTGCACTTAACTGTTGCGCTGCCCTGCGCCGGGTGACGGCCATCCCGGGGGGTTCTGGGGGACCCCATCCCCACCCTGAGGCTCCGCTCTGCCCCACACCAGCCCCTCTGGTGCACGTGGCTGCCCATGGAGGCACTCTGCTCAGCATCCTTGAGTGCAGGAGGATTTGCACGAGTGCAGGACGGTGTGCACGGATTTTTGGGGGGGGGTGCGGGAGGGTACGCGTGGGTATTTGGAGTGCAGGGGCTGTTGCACGGCGGCGCACACGTGTTCGGGTGCGGTGCGGTGCGCGCCCGGGTGACACCACGTGTCAAGCAGAGCACGGAGAACTACAACTCCCAGCAGCCCTTGCGAGGGGCCACTTCCGGGTTGCGCCGGGCGGGGCTCGGGCGGCAGGGAGCGGGTGAGAGCGCGGAGGGGATGCGCGGGGATGAGGGGTGAAGGGGGGGTCTGTGGGTGGCGGGGGGGTACGGAGAGAGGGGGAGGGCACGAGAATGGGATGCGTGGAACGGGAGGGAGTGGGGTGGGGGTGTATGGGGCGAGGGGGTGCGCAGAGTGGGGGGTGTGTGGAGGAGAGGGTGCACAAAGCTGGGGGTGCTTGGGTGTGGGGTGCACAAAGCTGGGGGTGCGCAGAGCAAAGAGTGCAGGGGTGTTGGCTGCACAGCTGGGGGTGCACAAAGCTGGGGGTGCACAGAGCAAAGGGTGCAGAAAGCTGGGGTTGCGTGGGTATGGGGTGCACGAAGTTGGGGGATGCACGGAGATGGGGTGCACAGAACTGGGGATGCATGGGTATGGGGTGCTCAAAGCTGGGGGTCCACAGAGCTGGGGGTGTAGAAAGCTGGGGTTGCATGGGTGTGGGGTGCACGAAGCTGGGGGTGCACAGAGCAAAGAGTGCATGGGTGTGGGCTGCACAACTGGGGGTGCACAGAGCTGGGGTTACATGGGTATGGGATGCACAAAGCTGGGGGATGCATGCATGGAGCTGGGGGTGCACAGAGCTGGGGGTGCACAGAGCTGGGGGTGTGCAGAGCAAAGAGTGCAGGGGTGTGGGCTGCACAGCTGGGGGTGCACAGAGCTGGGGGTGCATGGGTATGGGGTGCACAGAGCAAAGAGTGCACAGAGCAAAGAGTGCATGGGTGTGGGCTGCACAGCTGGGGGTGCACAGAGCTGGGGGTGCTTGGGTATGGGAAGCACAAAGCTGGGGGTCCACAAAGCTGGGGGTGCACAGAGCTGGGGTTGCATGGGTATGGGATGCACAAAGCTGGGGGATGCATGGAACTGGGGATGCACAGAACTGGGGGTGCACAGAGCTGGGGGTGCACAGACCTGGGGGTGTGCAGAGCAAAGAGTGCAGGGGTGTGGGCTGCACAGCTGGGGGTGCACAGAACTGGGGGTGCATGGGTACGGGGTGCACGAATCTGGGGGATGCACGGAGCTGGGGGTGCATGGGTGTGGGGTGCTCAGAGCAGAGGATGCGTGGGGTGTGGAGCGCACAGAGCAAGGCGTGTGTGGTTATGGGGTGTGCAGAGCAGGGGGTGCCTGGGGACGGGTCACACAGTATGCGTGGGGTATGGGATGCACCGAGCAAAAGGTGCACGGAGTGAAGAGAGCACGGATACGGGGTGCACAGAGCTGGGTGTGCAGTGACCCCCACACCCCTCCAGCCCCCCCAGCGCGGTGCCATGGAGCGAAGCTGCGGGATGGACACGTCTGGGCCGGGCAGTGCTGCTGAGGAGGAGGAAGAAAAAGCTCCAGAAGAGCGGCCACGGACCCGCTCCAACCCTGAGGGTGCTGAGGATCGGGCACTGAGCGCTCAGAGCAGTGTGGGCAACCGCAGTGAGGGCGAGGGGGAGGCGGCCAGCAGTGAGGACAGCCCACAGGGCACAGCAGCCCCCGATGGCACCGCCTGGCCCGGCCCTGCACACCCCCCCCCAGAAGTGCAGGTGAAAACGCCGAGGGTGAACTGCCCTGAGAAGGTGGTGAGTGCTTGGTTCTGGGGGGGTGGGCTCAGTTGTGGGGTGCAGGGCTCAAACATGAGGGTCTCGCTCAGATCATCTGCCTGGACCTGGCTGAGGAGATGGCTCTGCCCAAGCTGGAGTCGTTTAATGGGTGAGTGAGTGGTGGGGCTGGTGTGGGGAGGGGGTGAGAGGGGGAGACCCTGCTGAGCACTGTATCCCTCCCCCCCCATCTCCCATCCTGGCAGCTCCAAGACCAACGCGCTGAACATCTCGCAGAAGATGATTGAGATGTTTGTGAGGACGAAGCACAAGATTGACAAGAGCCACGAGTTTGCACTGGTGGTGGTGAACAATGATGCCACGTGGGTGAGTGGGGATGGGGTGGGATGGGGCAGGATGTGGACAGGATGGGGCTGAGGACAGGATGGGGATGGGGATGGGGATGGGATGGGATGGGATGGGATGGGATGGGATGGGATGGGATGGGATGGGGATGGGGATGGGATGGCTCTGTGACCCTCACCTGCCCCCTCCCAGCTTTCAGGGTTCACCTCTGACCCCCGTGAGGTCTGCAGCTGCCTCTACGACCTGGAGACCGTCGTCTGCAAGTCCTTCAGTATCCGCTGATACTGGGGCAGGAGGGGGTCCCAGTCCATTCCTGCAGGGGGCAGAGACCCACGGTGCTCCTGGTGCAGCCAAATCTGTGCCATGGGTGTGATGCCAGCTCCTCCAAATGGCATTTCTGGAGGTTTTGCCCCCAGTTTTGTCCCATTCTGCTGCATCCTTTGTGTGCGTTGGGTTTGGTTATGGGGAGGGTGGGAGGGCTCTGTGTGCCAGCACTGCTCCTTACCTCGCACTGCAGATCTGGATGGGCTCTTCAACCTCATGTGAGTCCATGGGGGGGGCAGAAGCTGGGGGGCAGCACTGGGGGGGGTCAGGGCTGGAAGCTCCCAGCGCAGAGCAGCCCCTGGGGGGTGTTATTGGGGCGGGGGGGCATTGCGTGGCATTCAGTCCCAGCATGGCATCACAGCCAGCAGAAAATCGAGCTGCCGGTGACGGACAACGTGCAGACCATCCCACCACCCTACGTGGTGCGCACCATCCTGGTGCTCGGCCGCCCCGGCTGCCAGCCCCAGTTCTCTGTGTCAGAGCAGATGAAGGTAAGGACCCAACCCCCCCTCTCATCCCCCTGGGCTGAACACCAATTTCTGCACGCTGGTGCCGTGCTCGCTTCTCCCCCTGCAGAAGATGCTGCAGTGCCCCTATTTCTTCTTCGACGTCGTCTACATCCACAATGGGGCGGAGGAGAAGGAGGATGAGACCAGCTGGAAGGTATGCGTGGAAGGGGTGGGGGGAGACAGCGCTGTGCCACCTTCCTGCTGCCCACATCCTTTGCCCCTCAGGAGCTGTATGCCTTCTTTGGCAGCCTGGACACCAAGGGCACCAACTACAGGTACGAGGTGACGCTGACGGGGCCGGCGGTGGAGCTGCACAACTGCATGGCCAAGCTGCTGGCGCATCCCCTGCAGAGACCCTTCCAGAGCCACGCAGCATACAGCCTGCTGGAGGGGGACGAGCCCCCCGAAGTGGAGGCCACCGTCTGATCTGGGGAGGGGTCACCCTATGGCCACCACACCATTGGGTTTGGGTGCACGGCCGTGGAAACGGAGGGGGGAAAAAAAGGGTGTTTTCCTGCCTGGCTGCGGTGGTGGTGTGGTTTCTGTACTGGAGATGTGGGGACAAAGGGTGTTTGTGGGGGATGCTGTGGGGGGGAACAGGGCAGCACTGGGGCTGCTGCTGGACGTGGTGATGGGCTGGGAGGGGGGGGTCACTGGGTGACGATGCAGGGCAGTGGGAAGCATCGGACAGTCGTGCACGGCACTGCACGGTGCTGTTGCAGGGCACGGTGCGCAATGCTGGAGCGCGACGCTGGGCGGTGCTGGTGCGGAGCGCTGGGAGGCAGCAGGCAGCGCTGTGTCGGGCAGCGGGCGCTGCAGCGCAGCGTTTATGGCCACGCCTCCTTTCTCCCCCCACATCCGGCGGAAGGGGCGTGGCGGCTTCTGGCCGCTTCCTATTGGTCGCCTAGCCAGCCAATCAGCGGCGACGCGCGGGGGATTCGAAGCCGGGGCGGCATGAATGGCGCGTGGCGGCGCGGGGCGGCGGGGCGGCTGTGCGCGGCGCTGCGGGGCGGGCGCGAGGAGTAAGGGGGCACCGGGGTGGGGAGGGGGGGTCGGGGGTCGAACATCGAGCATTGCACGGGGAAGGGTCGGGCATCGCAGCATCGCAGCATCGCAGCAGCCCAGGCGTTGCAGGCTTTGCAGGCCGGGCTGTTGCTTTGCCGTATGGCCGAGGCTCGGGTGATGCTGCGGTGTTGGGGGTGACCCCCGTGTTGTCCCCCCGCAGGGCGGTGGAGGTCCTCCTGCAGCACGGGGCCGACCCCAACCTGCTGCTTTCAGGGGGGTTCGCCCCCATCCACCTGAGCGCTGCGGGGGGGGCCGGGGGAGGCGTGCGCTGCTTGCGGCTGCTGCTGCGCTACGGAGGGGACCCCAATGCCAGGTAACGGCCTTGGGGAGCTCGGCTCCGTTCTGCCGAGTGGGGAGCGGAACCGCCGAGGGGACAGCGGTGACGCCGGTGTGGTGGTAGGGCTGCCGAGGGGCTCACGCCGCTGCACGTCGCTGCCTCCTGGGGGAGCTGCGGGTGCCTGGAGCTGCTGCTGCGGAATGGGGGGGACCCGGAGCTGCGGGATCAGGTTAGCGCTTGGGGCGGCGCCTCGGAGCTCTTCGTGCTTGGTGGGAGTGATACCCAGCGGCGGTGTCCCCTCCCTGCAGGACGGGAAGCGAGCCATCGACCTGGCGCTGGAGCAGGGCCATGGGCTGTGCGTGCAGCTCCTGCGGGACTGGAGCCTCCCAGACCCCCAGGGACCCCGGCGCTCACTGTCCTTCTTGTCAGAGGATTGCACCGCTGTGGAGCTGCTGAACAGCACTCCTGTGACCCAGCTGGAGGAACCTGGGCTGGGGGACAGCTGTGGGTTGGGGGAGCCCCCGTGCTGTGCTCAACCTTCCTTGGGTTCCTCCCTCACCCCATGGCTCCCAGGGTGTCCAGCTCTGCCCCTGCAGCCCCTGGCATCCAGCACACTGCTCTGGGCTGGGGGTGAGCATGAGGAGGTATCCCTAAAGGGAGCGGGGGTGTGCAGCTCCCTGCAGCCCAGTGCTGGGGCCAGGAGCCCCCCCCAACCCTTGCATTGCAGCAGAGACTGTGGGGTGTTGGAAGCAGGAACCAGAGGCCGTGACCTCCCTGGGGACAGCAGTGAGGACAGCGAGCATTTCGTCACTGCAGTGGAGATGTTGGAGCCCAGCGGGGCTGGGGTGCGCCCAGGAGAAGCCCCCTCCTCAGCAGGACCCTGGGAGCTGCCTGCCCAGAACCCTTCAGCTGCAGAGGAGCTGCCTGTGCTGTTCCAGGGCTGCAGCCTCGAGGGCTCCTCACCCCGCACCCGGGAGCTCCCTTGCAGCCCTGCTGGCATTGCTGTAGGGGATGTCACTTCGCAGGGGCTGCAGCCCCCCCAGTTCTGCCACGTCACCCCCCGCACCAAGAGCCGCCTTCAGGCCTCAGCAGTGAGGCTCAATGCTTCCTCCTCCTCCTCCTCCCTCTTCGATGCCAGCCTGGAGAAGCCCCGCAGGCCCCCCCGGATCAGAGCACCCAGAGGTGTCCTCAGGGACCCTGCCATCACCCCAGGGCACTGTGTTGCCCTCGGCGGTGATGATGTGTCTGGTGGGGATGGGGAAAGCCCAGGGTCCTCAGATGACACCCAGATCCTCCCCAGGACCCCCAGCCTGTCCAGCTCCCCCTTGGGGACCAGCAGCTCCAGCCCCACAGTGCTGCTCGCTCCTGGGGATCACGGCTGTGCCCAGAACCCTCTGTTGGATGCTGAGGGATCCCTCAGCCCTACTGTGCTGCTGGGTCCTGGGGACAGTGACAACCTCCAGGATTCCCCATCACACGTTCAGAACTCCACTCCTGCCATTGACCCCAAGGTCCCAGAGCCAAAGATCCCACCGATGCCACGCTCACCCACAGACCGCAGTCCCCACCGCCCCGTGGAACCCGATGGATGCCCGCCCACTGGGTGGCGCAGTCCCAGCGCTGAGACCACCAGCCCTGGGGACGGGGACCAAGTGCAGTCCCTGCGGATGCTCTCAGACGAAGCGCTCCTCCGGCGGCTGCGGGAGCTGGGCTACGACCCAGGACCCATCACAGTGCTCACCCGGCGCGTGTACCTGCGGCGCTTGGAAGAGCTGAGCCGCAGCCCAGCAGGTGAATCCCGGGAACCGCCATCCCCACAGTGCTGGGGGGGCTCAGGATGACCACCCCAATCCTCTCCCCACCCCCCAGGGCACAGCCCTGAGCTGACAGATGCACTACGCACCGGGCACATCCCCAACTGCACCGAGGATGAGCTGATGTTGGCACAGCAATTCGACCGCCCCGACCGGAGCCGGCATTGGCGCGAGGGGCTGCTGAAAGCCAGCTTCAACTACCTCCTGCTCGACCCCAGGTAGGGCTGTGCTGCTTCTTGGGCAGCCCCTGAGGCTGGGAACCCAACATCTGGAGGTTGGTTGTGCCCCCGGGGTGGGATCTGCACCCCCAGGACCACGCAGGAGCTCCCATTGCGCTGCCACCGCCTGAGCCCCGTGGAGTGCTTCAGGACTTTTGTTGATGCCATCTTCTATGTGGGCAAAGGAACACGTGCCAGGCCCTACAGCCACCTCGCCGAGGCTGTGACCCAGCACCGCATGGGGACGAGAAAGGTGGGATGGGGTGGCTGTGGGGTGGATCGCATGGGGAAGGAGGAGGCTTTATGGGCACGGGGCTGTTCCACAGGGCTGTCCCAAAGTGCGGCGCATCCTGGAGATCTGGGCAAGTGGGATGGGTGTCATCTCTCTGCACTGCTTCCAGAGCAGCGTGCCAGCTGAGGCGTATACGAGGGAGGGCTGCTTGCTGGAGGCCTTGGGTGAGCAGGGGATGGGGTTTGGGAGGGCTGGTCCCCCCTCATGTATGGCAGCAGGGGGATGCAGCCTGTCCTGGGGCACATGGAGAGCTGGGGGTTCCTGGACAGCAACACAAGGTTTGGGTACAATGCCCCAAACTGATCTCCTGCGGGGAAAAGATGGGTTGGAGCAGATGTTAATGGGACCCTATGGGTGCTAATGGGGACTTTGTCACTAAAGGGATGTAGGTGCTAAGGAGGAAATCACAGCGCTAAAGGGGATCCCAACCTCATGGGGCTGCGGGTGCTAATGGGGACGTTACAGCAATGTGGGTGCTAACGGGGACCCCGTGGGTGCTCACGGTAAACACGGTGCGGGAGCTCTGGGTGCTGACCTTGACCCCACAGGGCTGCGTGCCGTCACCAACCAGCGGAAGGGGAACTGCTATGGGGTGGCAGCCAGCTGGTCCCCAGCACGGCGCCGGCGCCTGGGCGTCCACATGCTGCACAGGGCAATGCGCATCTTCCTGGCCGAGGGCGAGCGGCAGCTGCGGCCAGCTGACATCCAGGCTGGGCACTGAGCCCCCCTCCAAGGGCTGGAGGCACCCCCTGCTCTTCCCAAGGAGGCGGAGGGCTGCGTGCCGGGGGCTGTTTTGTTTTGTTTTTGTTTTTGTTTTTACGTCGTGAACGATGGTGAGAATGTTTCTATTTATTTTCTCTCTACCCCTAAGTGGTGATGAGTAAATGGCTGCAAACAGCTCAGAGCTGCGCCTGCTGTCCGGCTTTGCGTCCCCGTGGTGGAGTCGGACGTGGCTGTAAATACAACACGGCTTTGCTGCGCGGGATGGCGCGGGCACGGTGCGGGTTTTGCCTTTGTGCAAGCGATGGAGAGAGCGGAGCAGCCTGACGGGTGGGAGCTGCAACCCGGTGCCGATGGCAGCTCCTGGGTTGGGGGTACAGGGGAGCAGAGCCGTGATTTGGGGTTGGAAATGCATCCGAACCCACGTGTTTGTGGTTAAAATTCTCATAGGGGCTGCAGGGTGGGCATGGGTTAGTGCCGGGAGAGGGGGTGGGGTGTGGGTTACGCATGGCACCTGTCACACGTGGTCCCTGCTGTGCTGGCACCAGCTCCTCTTCATTGCACAATTTTGGGGGCCCAGGGGGACGAGAAGGGTTTTGCGCCCACCCAGGGGACGAGGTTCCATTGGGCAAGCAGGCCTGGCTGTGTCTTTGGTTTAGATGGGGGAAATAAGGGGAGAAAACAAAGAGGGGAGCGGCTCTGCTCTTTGTGGTGAGGGGAGGCTGCAGCCATCCCCATGTGAGGGGCAGGGGAGCAGCTGTGCCCACCCAGGAGCCCCGGCGCAGTGGGACGGGAGCTGAGCAGAAGCCAGATCTGCAGGACCTGAAGCAGTGGTGCGTTTGGGGACACGACTGCACAAACGGTGGCACTGGGGAAGAGCTCAGCTCTGGCCTCATCGGCCCCCACCACAGCTCAGAAAGGTAAATCCCACTTGGGCTTCCCCTAAAACAATCCCAACTCAGCTCCATGCCACCAGGTGCCAGGGTCACCCCCTGCAGGACCCCCTCTGCTCTGGGAGCGGTGTCCCCACAGCGTCCTTGCTCTGCCCCCGAGGGGTCACTGCGTGAGGAATAGAATACTACAACAAAACAGGATGAAGGCGCTCCAGCGGCTGCCATAGGACCGGGTCTGCCGTGTTCCCAACGCCGGCCCTGCACGCCCGTGCCTGGGGGGAGCCTCCGTGCTCCTCCGCCCGCCTGCAGCCTGGGAACAAAACCAGCTCCATGCCTGGCAGGGCCAGCTGCACCCTGCTGCGCCCACAAACCCCTCGGTGCTCCCCAACATCTCTCCCATCGGAGCAGCCCGGTCACCGCGTCCCCACCACCTTATTTCTTCTCTCCTTGCCCGTCCTCAGCTGGCGTCTCGGGCTCCCAAAGGACGAATTCGTGGAGCAGGGTGTTCACAGTCTCGGGGCACTCCATCATCACCATGTGGCTGCCCTCGTCGATCACCTTCAGGAAAGCGATCAGCAGGATCTGGAAGGGGAAATGTGTCAGCGTTGGGCCGCCAGCACCAGGACGAGCCGTCAGCCCTGCTGTGCCCCATACCTCTGCCATGCGCTGGTCCTCCTCCACTGGCACAAACTTGTCGTGCATGCCATGCACCAGCAGCACGGGCACAGCCAGCTCGGCGTGGTACACCTCGTCACCCTCTGGCCAGTACTGCCCACTCATCATAGCACGCAGCACGAAGGAGGAGACGTTGAAGGCGTTGCCTTCCTTCAGCAGCTGCTTCTCTTTGGCACCCTGGCGGGCAAAGCCAGCCCTGCGGGATGTGGGAAGGGATCAGCATAGCACGGTGGAGGCACTGGTGGTGTGCCTTGCCCATGCTGGGGATCCCCACGCTGGGAGCACGCTCAGGGCTGAGCTTGCTGAGGACAGAGCTGGAACTCACTTGAGGAAGCTCCAGGCCAGGCATGGGGACAGGCAGTGCAGCACGCAGGTGGGCATGTTGAAGATGGAGCACAGGCTGGGCTCCAGCGCCGTCGGGCCTCCTCCGTTGATCATGATCACTTTATGCACCAGGTCGGGGTACTCGTGGGCTAGGAAGGTGCAGAAGGAGACCCTGCAGGGACAGACAGCAACGTGGGATGAGTGCAGCTGTGGCATGAGTGTCACACACTGCATGAAGCCACTGGGATCTCACCAGCACCCACAGAGCAGTGCAGCCACGCTGCAGGCTGCATCCTGCTTGTCACCAATCGAATCCAGCTCTTTCTGCACTGCTTAGTCCCCATCTAATTGACTTTCTCAGGCTTACTCTATTTATAGGCTGAACACCGCCAGCTTCCTCACCGGCCCATGCTCAGGGTGCTGGGATTAGCTGGGCCCAGAGCTGGGCACCGAGGGGATGGAGGGGATCAGAGCTGGGGATAACGCGAGGGCTGGAAACCCCGCACCCTCCTCTGCACCTCGGCCGTGCAGGGCAGGATCTATCCAGCCACAGAGAGGATGGCAATGGGATGAGTGCACCCCCGTGCCCCTTACCCATACGAGTGCCCTATCAGGATGTTCCTTTTCTTGGCGTAGCGCTTGAAGACGGCCCTCATGTCCTCAGCCAACGCATAGAAGGTGTAGGCAGCAGCGATCTGCGGGGCTGAGCTGCAGCCGTGGCCGGCCAGGTCAGGAGCCACCACCTCATAGCCCAGCTTGGTGAAGAAGTCCAGCTGTTCCTTCCAGATGTCCAGCGAGCCGCCCACGCCGTGGATGAAGAACAGGACCACGTCACCGTGCGTCCCTTTGCAGCTCGTGATCTGCTTCTTGCAGTCGATGTTGATGACTTTCTTGGGTTTACGCTTCCGACGTTTCCCAGCCGCAGCATCTCGCGCACCAGATCCCGGCGTGCCGCAGCCCGGCGTGCCAGCAGAGCCCTGCACAGGGGTTTGGCCAGCCAGCTCAGACAGCTCCAGCTCCACGGTGCTGCTGGGCTCGGCCGTGCCGTTGGAGCAGTGCAGGATTTCGGAGCGCACGGCGTCCCCCAGGTTCTCGATCACCAGCTGCCCGTTGCGGTACAGCGTGATCTTGCGCTTGCAGTGCACCGTGCCTCTCTCTGCAGCCCCGGGCTCCTCGGGGGGCTCAGCAGGAGGGCGGCTCGGAGCGCTGTGCCGTACCCTCAGGATCCTGCCTGGCTTCACCTCCAAGAAGCTGTAGCCATTGCTGGACTCAACGCTGTCCAGCGGCCCCACGGCGTTGGTCGTTTTGCCCATCAGGCAGCAGAGGAACCCCTCGGTGATGCTGTTCAGCATTATGCTCCCTGCGTGACGAAGCAGAAGGAGGTTAGGGCAGCATAAACCAGGGCAGCGCTGCTGCTGGAGCTGCTGGAGCTGCTTTGGGGTGTCCCCCAGTGCTCCCCGTGTGCACAGCACTCCCCACAACCCTCCACCTCCCTTTGCAGCTGGTCAGAGGTGGAACAGAGGGAATAACACCCAAGGAAAAGCCCGTTGAAAATGATGTTTCTGGCACCAGATGTGGGGCTGAGGGGAGACTCAGCTATGAAAATGCATTATTTATACTGATTAAATGTGTGCGTATAGCTCCCGTCCAAACCACCACCACAACCAGGGTTGCACAACCTGCAAATCGCGGGGACTGAGGTTGGATGTTTGAATTTAGAGGCATTCCACGCAGCGACGCTGAGCACCTGGAGGAGAGGCAGTTATCCAGCTGGGAGGGTGGGCAGCCCCCTCCCCATGGTGGGATGGGGGAAGGCCGTGGGGCTGGGGTACCACAGCAAAGTCCCTTTGGCCCCAGGGTCAGCCCAGCCCGTGCTGTGTGCTCTTCCAGAGGAGCTCGGGATGTTTCTGAGCTCAGGGGGCACCCGGAGCACTGAGGGGCTGGGGATGTTCCTGCCCTTCCTCCCCCCCCCCAGTTCCACCAGGCCGATGCGCATTTATTATGGATGCAGCTCAGTGCATTGAATTATTGATGCTGAGAATCTGCTCAGCAAAGCGATTCACAGTGGGGACCGGGGGGATACAGCAGACCCCCCAGCAATGGCTGCAGTTACAGAGCAGAACCCCCCCCCCGTGGATGGAAGGGAAGGAAGAACGTATTCCCAAGGGGAATTAAACACCACCATCCCCACTGCAGCCTGCTTAACTCCCCCAGCAGCCACACAGCACTGCAGCAGCAATGCTGGCAACGCACGAGAGGGAATCAGCAAAACAAAACCCGGTCTGGAGGCTGCCTGGGCTCAGGGCTCTGCCTGCAGCTTTGATAATTGAATGCGTTTGGAGCTCGGCTGCATCCTGCTCAGGGCTCCCTGCAGCCCCAGCGTGCACAGCCTGGTTCCCAGCAGCATCCCTTCTCTCTGCATTAAGAGCAAAAGATGTCAGAGCCCTGGAAGGAGAAGCTGAGTGCAGTCCGTGCAGGAATGGGTCGTGGAGCTCCTGGCTGGAAGATCCCTGGTGCCTCTGTGCTGGGATGGAGAACCGCTCTGCTCTCACAGTGTCTTGAGCATCAGCTGGGTGCCAGGCTGGAGCTGTGCCCATTGCTCCCATTGCTCTTCTGGAGCAGTAATGCTGGAAGAGCACGGTCCAAAGCACCAAGAAAGAAGGGCAGGTGAAGAAGTGAGGAGAGTGGATTTGGTGGCAGAGGCAGAAGTGCAGCTGTGGGATCCAGCTGCTGTCCTGCAGTGTCTGTGGCTGCGGATCCCATTGTGCTCAGCCTGCAGCACCCAGGCACCCCAGCATGTTTTCCAGCTCTGATCTCCACGGAGCCAGGATTTGCCCTGCACCTCCATTTCACAGGGCACTAATGATCTCCGCGTGGATTATAAACAGGACTTCTGGCCAACCTGACTTGACATTGATTAACTTCGCAGGATTAACTCAATTAGTCCATCCTGTTCGTTTCCAGAATTGATTTGCTGGAAGGCTGTTGCGCTCAGGAGCTCTGCAGGCAGATCCAGGAGCTCAGCTCAACCTTTGGGTCTGCTTTGGTGTAGGAGGAGGGGAGCAGCAGGGCAAGCTCTGCCTCTAACAGCAATGCATGGCTTGAGGCTCACAGCCCGAGACCTGGCAGCCCATGCTTTGGCTCTGGAGCTGGGAAAGCCCTGACTCAATCACAGCAGAGAGTGCATCCCAGTGGGTAACAGAGGGGCAGGAGGTGCAGGGCTCTGCAGCAAGGGGGGGGGGGGCCCGTCTCCCACCTCCCACCACTCCGTCTGCCGCAACCAGAAACATCAAGGGATGTTCCCTCCACCAGATGAAAGGGCTGCAAATGAAACCAGATGGATGTGAAGAACTTAGTGAAGATGCTGGTAACCATGGCGATGAGCTGCTCTTCCTCTCCCCCCCCCCCCCCCCCCCCCCTTCCTCCTTCATCCCGGCTACCTTCCAGTGCCGCCCCCAGCAGGGAGTGAGATTTCGGCACCAGTTACATAAGGCCAGGCACAACACTGAGTCAGGCAAGGCGCCAGGCCAGGAGTGTAGCAGAGCATCCCCAGGGGCTGGGGAGGGGCAGAGCATCACCATGAGCTGCTACCCATGCGTGTGTCCCCCTAAAGTCACGGCTTCCACTGGGAAATCTCTCCTATCTCAGCAGCAGAGGAGCAAAGGATGCTATAGCGGTGATGGAGGGAGGCTGATGTGCTGCCCAGCTCCAGGGCTCCATGCCCCAAATGTGGGCATTGCTGCAGGGTCCTCCAGCTCCAACCTCTGCTCCTCCTCCCTGCTGCCACCCCCGACAGCCCAGCTGGGAAAAACAACTTACTGACCTACTTTGGGCTGCGGTGCCTCTGATTTTACACAACTTGATGGCACCATGTCACAGCTGGAGAGAAATTGGACGCGATCCGACGTGCAGAGGGCAGAAAGCCCAACATGGTAGCGTGACAGGCAGCCATGTGGGACTGGCGTGGAGCCTGTGGGGCAGGAGGAGGGCAAGGATGCTGCGTTTTTCCATCATGGCACTGAGCCTGTCCTTGCCAGCAGCCCTGCTAAACATTTGGCCCCAATTGCTGAGCCGAGAGCATCGCTACTGCAGGAGATGATGGCTGGGAATGGCTTCTGCTCCCCCTGTGCCACAATGATCCTGCAGCCCCACTGCTCAGCACCTCCAACCTCTCCCGGCACGCAGCCCCCACAGGGAGCAGCAGGGATTCATATCTGCTAATTCCTTGCAAATCCTCGGAGGAGAGGTGCCAGAGACATGAAGAGGAGCGTGAGATGCGCTGCAGCCAGAATCCGACCTGCCATAATAATTTGTTCAGCTCTAATCCCTTCCCTCCGGGGCTCGCGAGTATTAATGATGACACACGACACTCTTGAGGAATGGGCCAATATCGTTATGCTCTTTCCATCCTTTCCCATTCATTCACTCTGCAAAGTGGAGAAATTACGGCATCGAAAAGACAACACCTGTTTAAGCACCAGCCTCAGATAACGCACAAGAAAACGTTGATGCCACTTTAGCCCTGCCAAGTAAACTTCCCTCTGGGGGAACCCAAACCAGCACTCGGGTGGCTGGAAAGGACCTGGGTTTATTGTTACACCCGGCTTGCTTGGCCTGATACAGCAGCTTTATCAGAGCATGCAGGAATAAGGGGTGAGGAACTGACAAGGCAGCCCTGAGATCCTCAGCACGCACAGCCTGGAGGCCCCTGGGTGCAGGGCTGTGCTGAGGGCCCTGCAGGATGCAGACAAATGGCACCGAGTGGAGGAGCAGCGCTGCGGGGAAAGCACCCAAAGCACATAGAGCAGCCTGGAGCCAGGGCTGGCTGCCTGCCACACGTCTCTCTTTAGGAAGGAAGAAGACCTTGAGAAACAAAAGATTATGCAATGCACAGAGGAGTAACCTGTGTCTGACCTCTGTGGCTGACATACTACCTCAACCCCCACCCCTACCCTGGCTTCCCAACCCTGCTGGATTTCCAGGGGGATCCTTCCAGCTCCCACTGCATCGCTGCAAAGCTGCCTCCGATCCTTCAGCTGCAAACGTCCTACAGCCTCCAGGAGCAGCCTGGAGCATTGCAAGGAGCAGGAAGGAGAAAACCCTGCCCCCTCCGCCGGGCAGCGATGCATGCAGGTGCCCCCCTCACTCTCCAACCGAAAAGCCGAGCAGATCTGCCACACACATAGCAACAACAGCAGGTCTTCCTCCAGAGCCAGCAATCGCCGGCTGTAATTGCATCACAACCAGAAGCCGTCCCTAAGTTTTATCACCGGGCAGCTTTAACCCCGCGCTCAAAGCACGCTCATAGCGCAGTGCTGTGACAGCACAAGCAGCCGTGCTGCTCAGCAGCTGCTGCCTCCCCTCGTCTCCCTGCAGCCCCATTCAAAGCCCTTCGGCTCTCAGCCTCGAAGCGAATCCTTTGGCCATTTTGCTCCCCGTGCTGAGCACCTTCCTCCCGTCTGCTGCAGCTCCGAGCATCACAAAGAGGGACAGAACGGCACGCTCACCTCATTTATTGACAGGGATTGTCGGGAGTCGAGGTTGCAAATGAAAGGCTTGCTCTTGCAGGAGGCAAAGGGGGAGAAGAGGAGATGCGAGGCAGCAGGAGCAGGATGCAGGAGCTGGCGGGCTGCTCAGCTGGTCGGCTCCTCCGATCACATTTTTTTGCCTTTGTGGTGGGAAGGATGGAGCAGTGCCTTCAGCTCAGCTCATCGGCTTTACACTGCGATTTCTCCTTCCATCTTCTCCCCACGAGCCCCGGCGGAGCGAGGAGCTTCATACCCGAGCTCTGGGGCTTGGGGGTGCTATTTGTCCTTGTAGTCTACAGCCATAGAAAGCCCCTTAAATCCCTCCTAAGGAGGAGGGCTTTCTGCTTGACAGACAAGAGGACTTGCCAGTCAATGCTGAACCGAGCACAGCGAGCTGCCCGCCCATGGAGGCCTGCCAGGAGCAGGGGGGCTGTGCAGGGGCTCTGGGCTTTGCCCCTTGCAGCGGGATGAGCTCTGGCTGGCGTTGGCTGCACTGTTCCAACCGAGATGGGGTTTTCCTCCATCAGCACAGCGCCTGTGCCGCGCTGCGACCAGGACTTGCTGTTAATCCCTGCCCTGGTCGGGCAGGAGAAACCTTTTGCTGTTCTCTCGCTGCTGTGGTCACTGTGGTTTCCCACAAGCGCAGCTCACAGCAGGCCGGGGCTGTGACACAACGACAAACAGAAAACGACAAATGTTTATCGCGCATTCGTTCATTCATTGGTTTCTTTTCACATCCCTGGTTTGGGGGGAGCTGTGTTTACCCCCCCCTGGAGGCGCGGGGCAGGCAGTGAGGGCGGTGAGGTCTGTCTGTCCTGGTGGTCCGTGAGTCATCATCAGCCCCCTCGTCCTCTCTGCCATTCATTCCTCTGCTCTGAAAAGGGCTGCAAATGGCATTCGGGAGCAGAACGGGCTGAGGAATCCTGCCTGCGAGTGCACAATGGGCGCGGTGCTGCTCTGTGCTGGAAGCAACTCAGCAGCACAGTTTGGACAGTGCGGCGTTTGGAGGAAGCACCGAACCGGGAGAAGCGTTCGCAGCCCAGGCGAGTCAGGCCGAACCCCGAGGTCGTCGCCATAGTAACAACGCTGTGTGCGCTGCCCCGCGCAGGACTACAAATCCCATCATCCCCCGCGGCCGTCACGTTGTACGTAATGCCGTTCCCACCCAGCGCGCACGCGCCCTTTTCGCCGCCTGTGATTGGCCGGGCGGAGGGAGCCAATAGGGGACGGCGTTGTTGGGAGGACGGTGCTGTCAGGCGGGGGAGAGGCGATGGCGGCCGCGCTGGGCCGCTTGTGGGAGCGGGCCGCTGGCAGCAGGTAACAGACGGGGACGGAGCGACGGGACCGAGAGGGACACTGGGGCGGGTAGGGGTCCGTTCTCACCGCGGCCGGAAATCCCTTGGTTTACCTCTCTGGAGCCTTCTCCAGACTGAACAAGCCCAGCTCCCTTAGCCTGTGTTCACAGAGGGGCTGTTCGCACCCTCAGCACTTTCGTGGCCCTCCTCTGGGCCCGCCCAAAAAACTCCACAAACTTCCTGTGCTGTGGACCCCGGGTCTGGATACAGCACTGTAGATAGGTCTTCACAAGGGCAGAACAGGGAGGGCGGTCCCCTTCCTGCCCTGCTGTTACCCCCCTGATGATGCAGTCCAGGATGCAGTTGGTTTTCTGGTTTGCAGGTGTGTACTGCTGGCTTACATCCAGCGTTTTTGTCCACCGGGACCCTCAAGTTCTTCTCCACAGGGCTTCACACACTGGGTTCTCCCGCTGTGTATACATATCTGGGATTGCCCAGACCCAAGTGCAACATCTTGCACTTGGCTTTGTTAAACCTTATTTGGTTCGTATTAACCCGCTTTTCAAATCTTTATTTATTTGTATTCATTTATTTATTTTACTTTTCCAAAGGCTTTCTCTGCTCCAGCAAGTTGCAGTCCATCCCTTCCAGCTCCGGTCAGCATCAGTCCTCACATATTGTCGGGAGCTGCCTTTCAGCCATCTCTCCTTGAAGCCCACAGGCACCATCCCTTCCTTCACCAGCCCAGTGCCCTCCTGGAGCCATCAGCAGATCCGCACAAAGGCACGTGGGAACGAATATCAGCCCAACAACCGCAAGCGCAAACGGACCCACGGCTGGATCAAACGCATCAGCACACCAGCTGGCATCGAGGTGATCCTCCGGCGCATGCTGAAGGGCAGGAAGTCTCTGACCCACTGAAGGTTTGGCGTGGGGTGAGCTGGAACAGAGCCCTGGAGCTGCCATGGGTTTGGAGCACCCCATCTTGGGTCCTCGTACTGAGAGAAGGGCTGTGATGGGCAGCAGCGACCGACTGCTCCTACCGTGTTGGAAGCGTGTGGGGAATTGCACTGGGAGCGGCCTCCAAGGGCTTTGTTTGCTGGCTGCTTTCTGCTTTTCTAATTGTGGGATTGTTGCCACTTCTGTGTACAATTGTAAGATCACCTTGTGAAAACACAAGCGTTAATTAAAGCCTAGCAACTTGAGCTGAACTCTCTTCAATAATTGGTGGTGCAGAGATAATAGGGAGAGGAAAGGCAGCTTGTTCACAGGTTTGCACGCACCAGGGTGCCTCTGGAGGAAGGCACTGGTGTGGAACAAGGGCTGATGGCAGAGAGAACTTTAGTTTACATTGGTCAAGTCCACTGTGTGTCTGCTCCGCTCTGCTCTCCGTGGGAGGCACTCAGAAGCGTGGAGGCCTTGGCAGCAGCTCTGGGCTAGAAGGGAGAGGGGAGCCCCACGCGTGTGCTCAGAGCTGCGCACCAGCCAAGGGAAGCTGCCAACGTTTGTTAGCAAATTACTCGTGAGCGGACTGAGAGCAGGCCCAGAGGCGGGGCTTGGGATTTCTCTGGTGACACTGCATGTGTGTTCCCAGCGCTGCTAATGAATTGCTAACAGGTAATTAACAGCGCTTTCATCAACGAGAGCAGAGGAGAAGCGCGACGCGCACGGACTACCGCTCCCAGCATGCCTCGCGGCCGGCGCCACATCCGGGTTCCTCCCACCCACCTCCGCCTTCCGAGCGGCATTTCCTGCCTCAATCGGATCCCAGACTCCTCAGCGGCGCGCTGACTGACGGCCGCGACGCCCAATAGACGCTGGGCGTGGCGTTGCGCGGGCCAATAGGAGCGCGCGGGGCGGGCGAGCGAAGGCAGGCAGAGGCTGTGCGGAGGGGGAGGGGCGGCTCCTCCCGGCTGGCGGCGGCGAAGATGGTAGGTGTGCGACCCCCGCCCGAAATGGCGGCGCCCCCGGCTGAGGAGGAGCGCGGCCTCAGGGCCTCTCCGGCTCCGCAGGGCCCTCACCGTCCGGTCTCCCCGCCCGCAACCTCGAGGGAGGGCGGCGAGGCCCATCTCTGAGGAGGAGAGAGCCGCACCCTCAGGGCTGGGCCGTGAGGGAGAGCGGGCCCTGCGGCGGGGGGAGCTGAGCCCGGGGCTGTGGGGCTGCGGGAGCCCAAAATGGCGGTGCGGGCGGATCAGCTCGGGGGGG